TCCAGCCGGCGCCCAAGCGCTGCTTCACCATCGAGTCGCTGGTGGCTAAGGACAGTCCCCTGCCCACCTCGCGCTCCGAAGATCCCATCCGTCCCGCGGCGCTCAGCTACGCCAACTCCAGCCCCATAAACCCGTTCCTCAACGGCTTCCACTCGGCCGCCGCCGCCGCCGCCGCCGGCAGGGGCGTCTACTCCAACCCGGACTTGGTGTTCGCCGAGGCGGTCTCGCACCCGCCAAACCCGGCCGTGCCAGTGCACCCAGTGCCGCCGCCGCACGCCCTGGCCGCCCACCCCCTGCCCTCCTCGCACTCGCCACACCCCCTCTTCGCCTCGCAGCAGCGGGACCCGTCCACCTTCTACCCCTGGCTCATCCATCGCTATCGATATCTGGGCCACCGCTTCCAAGGTACGTGCCACGTCGCGGGGCCGCGGAGCGCTTCATCCCACGCTGCCCTCGGCCTGCTCCGGGTGGGCGCCGGGCGAGGCCTGGATGGAGGTTCTTCCGGCTCGACCGCCCGCGCGCTGCGTCTGGAAACTGGGCGGCAAGGAGTCGGGCATGGTGTTGGTCCCCAGTCTCCGAGCTGCGGCCGGTTTGGGGGCTGGCCTGCGGCCGCTTACCCCTTTAGGGAGGGACGCAGAGGAGTTGCTTCCGAATGCTCTCTAGGCGGGCTGTCCTAGCCTGCTGCGAGTGCTGGACACCAAGGAATCCGTGGCCCGCGGGTTGCCCAGGCTCTCCGTCTCCTCGGCTATGCTCTCGCCGTCTTGGCTCCTAGGGGCGCGGGCAGGGCCTGGCCTCAGGTTCGCCTTCAACTGCGTGTTCGCCACCCACTCCGCGCCCGTGCCTCCTAGACCCGCGACGTCTTGGTCTCTGACCCTCTTCCAGCAGCGAAGAGACCCTCATGCCCCCGGAGCAAAGTCCGGGGGGTTGTTTTATTCTGCTTATTTCGGAGGCTGGGGAGCGGCGGGAACCGCGAGGGTAAGAACCTCTCCGAGGCTCGGCACTCTCGCGGTGACCTACTCAATTCCGGCATCGAGCCGCCGCGGCGGGAAGGCAGGTTCGGTCTGATTTTTGTTTTTGTTTTTCCTTTAAATGAACCGGGTCGGAAGATGGGCTAGAGGAGCTGTTTGGGTGTTTTCCTTTCTTGCTGTTTTTGGGGATTTGTTTGTTTGTTTTTTTTTACCTCGGGGCGGGGGGGGGGTTAGGAGGAAAGTTAAAACTCCAGTAAAGGGGACAAGTAATTAGTTTGGCGATCCGAGCGGGGAGAAGACCTACCTCCCGAGGCAGCCGATCAATACTCGGCGGCTTGTCCATTTGTTAACCCTTTGCGTTCCTGCCAGCGCCTAAAGTCGGGTAGACCCCCCCCCCCCTTCCTTAATTTCAGAAACCAAACCAAACAAAAACAACGTTTTACCCTTATTCCCAGACTGGATTTGCCTCCATTCCCCCCTGAACTGTCGGTTTGTTTTTCTTTGGGTTTTTGGTGAATCGATTTCCCACCCTAGTGAGTGAACCTGAAACTGGCTTTGCTCGAAAAGTTTAGGGCTCTCTTTCCCCATTCTTCAGTAGCCACGGTCTTGGTCCCCACACCAGACTCGGAGTAGCTGGGATCTTCCCGGGCCGCGGACAGTCCTAAAAGGTGTCCGCAGCTCCGTTCCCATCCGCCCCCCCCACCCCCGGGTTACGAAGCCTTCGCTCGCGTCTCCTAGTTCTCCGGAGCAAGGCAGCGGGGAAGCCGGGACCTCGGGGAGGAAGCGGCAGCAGAAACCCTGCGCACCCGCCGGAGAGATTTCTGTGAAGCCCGGGCTGCAACGACACGCCCGGCCTCTGAGCTTTTCCGGAGGAGAAAGACTTTTAAAATGTGTACCCGAGAAAACTTTAGATAGCGGCTCATCACCTCTCCGCCCCTCATCCCCGGGGGCAAAGTTTTCTCCGAGATTAGAAAAAAGAGAAAGCCGTTTCTTTGGGTCCAGGGCGCCAATCCCCGGATCCGGCCTTGCTGCCCCCTCCTCGATCCCCGGGTGCCCGGAGCGGAGGTGGCGAGGCCCGCGGCGCCCGGGGGTCTGCAAAGTCCGCCAAGGACATCTGCTGGGTGGCAGCCGCTCAGGTCCGGGCCCAGCGGACAGGGCCAGGCGGCTGGACCGGCGTTCCCTTCGCGCGTCGGGCCACCCGGGCCAAGCCGCACCGGCTACGTCCGCGAAGGCCCTGAGCGCGCGGCCAGGTCAGCCCGGCTCCGGAGAAGCGCGCGGCCCGGGCTAGGACGGCCCCCTCTAACAGGACTTCTGCTATGTTCCCCGCAGGGAACGACACGAGCCCTGAGAGCTTCCTTTTGCACAACGCGCTGGCCCGAAAGCCGAAGCGGATCCGCACCGCCTTTTCCCCGTCCCAGCTTCTGAGGCTGGAACACGCCTTCGAGAAGAACCACTACGTGGTGGGCGCCGAGAGGAAGCAGTTGGCGCATAGCCTCAGCCTCACGGAAACTCAGGTGAGCGGGCCCCGGCGCGGCCACCGCATCCCGGATCCCCGGACACACGCAGCCCGCAAAGTGCGGAGGGCCTTCCGCCAACAGGCCGGGAGTGACTCCCACGCCCTGGGTTCAAGATGTGTAAGATTTGAGGGGCCCTTGGCTTCCCTGGGCTCCAGCAGCGGACTGTAGGAGTCGACCCGCTGGAGAGGTTCCGGGGTGGGGAGGGGGAACCGGCTGAGGTGCTCTTTCTGTAGGGCCGGGCTGGACTCGCAGCTCCTGGCTGAGACACCTCTGCACTTTTGATGAGACTTTCGGTGCGAGTCTGGGGGCACGACTGGGGCCAGGAAGAGGTGTAGGAGTGTTTGGGGCGCTAGGCTGGCAAGAGAGGGCTGGGAGTGGGTTAAGAGCGAGGTCTGTGCTGCCAGAGGCTCACGGCTCACACAGACAGCTCCCAGTTACTCCCCTTGAGGGGAGAGGAGGATCAGGCCACCGAGCCAGGAATCCTGGGTGCGTCCCTAAGTCGGAGAAACTGAGCCAGGAGGCTGCGGAGAGGGGCTGCCTCAGGGGGCAGATCCCTGCTGCGCAACAGGGTCCCCCGGCGGGCCAGGCTCCGGCCGGCCCCGGGGTTGGGGAGGGGGCTTCGGGCTACAGTAGGCGCTACTGTACGCGGAGCCGCAGGGCGGGGTCAAAGTTCCCGGCAAACAGTAACATTTTCGGGTAGATTAAGTTGTAACACTTTTCCTGGGAGGCGCAAAGAGGTCGAGGCTTTTGTTTTTAAAACGTCCCCCAAGACAAAACCGAGGAGGGCCTCGCGAGTTGGTGCGGGGCCCGGCACAAGGCGCGGCCCGGCTGATTTCTCCTGGATAGCCGAGGCGGCGGTGGTCTTTGTCCGCCTCGCTGCCCACGCTGCCTGGAGTCTTTGTGTGCGTGTCAAGCCCCGAGCGCACCGACGCGCGCCTTGGGCGAGCGCCGGGGAGAAATGAATCGTCCTCCCCCTCAATTAGCAAACTCAAAGCAAATTAAACTCAGCCTTGTTCCAGCTCGGCTTTTTCATGGGAACACTTTGGGGGACTGGGGGCATTCGGGGAGAGCAAGCCGGGACCTGGGCCTGCCGACTCAAAGGAGAAAGCCCAGCGGACTTCAGGGGCTTGGGGTACTGCTGGCAAAGTGGGGATAGCCCCGGGGCGTGGAAGGTGCAGTCACCACCATTTTCCTCACCTGTCCCTCGCTGCTGAGAAGCTTGGGCAGTGCCATTGTGTGGTCTGGTCAGTGTATAGGGACCCATCACCAATCTCCCCCAGGGACCGGTGCAACCCAGTCCCACATCAGTGCTCCCCAGACTTCTAGCTGCCCTCTGGGGAGGCCAGGCCGCCAGCCCCGCCCTGCTGGGAAGTGATGCGATGGGGTGGGAGTTTGGCCTTGGCCGGTCCTGGAGCTGGTCAAGAAGAGTACAGAGGGGGCTCTTCCCTTATCTTTCTCAGTTTTATTTCCCCTCTATCCCACGGTCTTGCGGAAGCTTTCACTTTTGAGCCTCTTTTCCCAGCTGAAAAGATTCAGCTGGGTTAGTCCCCAGGGCTCTGTACCCCACCATCTGTCCTGGTTTTCCCCCCAAATGCCCACCCCCGACTGTCTCCCACAACTGCTCCTGCTCACCTGCAAGAGTCCTGGGCACAGAGGAGGAAGCGCAGGCAAATCCTGACTGCCTACCCCAGGGCCCAGGCCTTGCAGAGGAGGCGCTATATTTAGGCAGTGGCTGCGGAAGCCAGCAGAAAATAAAAGCCAGCACGTTCGGCCCAGCAGCGGGAATGAACTCTTTGCGGCACTGATTAGGTAGAGGGAGTCAGGGACCTTTTAATTTTCCTTTACTTATTGTTTTATAGAGGCTTCCCAATGTTTGCCAGGCTTTTGCACTTAACGGGGATGTGGGTGTCTTGAGCTGGTTGAAGCTAAAAGGGGCACCGAGCACGTGGAGCCGGCGGGTCCAGGGGAAAGGTTTCCCCAGGAGGGCTCAGAAGGGCCGGGATCCAGGCTTCCCCGGGTGTGGCAACAGGAGCTCTGTTCCCCCAGGGAAAGCTCTGGGAGGTGGGGGTGCCAGTTAGCAGGATGCGCGGCCTGGGGCACTGGACTTTTGTAGTCTCAGCCCAGGGTCTGGCCAGGCAATAGAGGAGGAGGTCGGAGGGCGCTGTGCCGGAATACTAACGCGCCTTCTCTGCCTCTCCTTCAGGTAAAAGTATGGTTTCAGAACCGAAGGACGAAGTTCAAAAGGCAGAAGCTAGAGGAGGAAGGCTCAGATTCGCAACAAAAGAAAAAAGGGACGCACCATATTAACCGGTGGAGGATCGCCACTAAGCAGGCGAGTCCCGAGGAAATAGATGTGACCTCAGACGATTAAAAACACAGACAGAACCCCACCGAAACGGACATCACGGAGCAAAACAGAGACAGGGAGAGGAGGGGAAGACGGGAAAAAAAAAAAAAAACCCTACAAAACAAAAACAAACCGCACACACACATTCACGGAGAAGGGGAGAGGGAGTCAGAGAGAGGAGCCGCGGCGCGACGCAGACTGGCGGCAGAACGCAGGGTCCTGATCCGAGGCCGCGCCTAGATGGCAGAAGACAGGAGGCTCCGTGATGAACACGCTACCCTTGTCTAAAGAGGCAGCTGAGTGAGTGAGGCAGAAAGAGACAGAGAGAGAGAGAGAGAGGTCCTAAGGTGGCAAAGCCGAAGGCGCTCTGACAAGGGGAGCTGTCAGTCAAACGCCAAACCAGCGAGACAAGATGATTGGCAGGTATTCCGTTTATCGCAGTCCGATTTATTTTTAAAAAAATGATGATGATAATGGTGATGATAAAAGAAAAAAAAAACCCAACCACGCACAGGACTTTAAAATTTTGCCCTTTGAAGTGTTTTTTCCCCCCAATCTTTAAAATTAATTAGTAATAATAACAATCGAGATTCCATATCCAGCCCCATCCCGCACCTGTTCAAAAACTTGAATTGCATGTAGCAGTTGTTGGGCGAATGGTGTCTAAAGACAGAAAATGAATTGTAATTTTCTTTTCCTTTTAAAGACAGGTTCTGTGTGTTTTTTATTTTGATTTTTTTTTTCAAGAAACGTGCAGTCTGTAAACACTTTTTGATACCTTCTGATGTCAAAGTGATTGTGAAAGCTAAATGAGGTAGGCTCAGCAATAGCGGTCCTCTTTCAGAGAAACGGGGAACAGGATTGGGGGCTGGGGGTGGAGGGGGAGGGTGCCCATAAGAGGAGTCAGAGCTTGTGCTGGGAAAAGAAACAAGAACAAAAAACCTAAATTCTATTTCTTGGACATTCCCTTTCCTAACATCCTGAGGCTTAAAACCACAAAGTAAACTTCTCCTTTTAGTCATTGAAGATATTGGCCGAGTTCACCCATTTGCCGTAAAGGCCATTCCAAACTTTAAATCTATATATTGCAAAAATTGAAGGACTGTAGTTAGCGGGGATGATGTTAAGTGTGGCCAAGGACACTGCGGCAAGTTTTCAAGCACTGAGTTTCTATTTCAAGATCATAGACTTACTAAAGAGAGTGACAAATGCTTCCTTAATGTCTTCTATACCAGAATGTAAATATTTTTGTGTTTTGTGTTAATTTGTTAGAATTCTAACACACTATATACTTCCAAGAAGTATGTCAATGTCAATATTTTGTCAATAAAGATTTATCAATATGCCCTCAGAGTAGTCATCTTGGGAAATTTGAAGTGATTTTTTTTTTTAAAAGCATCTTTTTAATTTGAGTGTGGTCCTTCCCCAACTAGGCTCAAGAAGCCCAGGCTCACCACCCACAAAAGGGCCAGACTGATGGATTCTTGGGCATTTTAAAGAGAGAAGAGGGTGGAAAAGGGGGAGGATTAGGAAAACTTAAGTCCTTCAGAAAAGAGATGGAAGAAAAGTTTTCCATCCAGACCTCTGCCTATTGCACGGCCTAAAGAAGGAGTTTAATTCGAATTTCAGGTTAAACATGCTTACTACTCTTAATCGCTAGTTATTAAAAAAAAAACTAGACATATAGCTCTGCACTGAAGAATATTCCCCTAAGATTAGGGAAAACACTTAGCAGAATCAGAAACCTAGGACTTTTAAACTGTTTTTCTGACCTCAAACCCCTGAAATGTGTCTCTTCTCCCTCTCTTTTTCTTCCTCCTACTCTTCCGTCCTTCTCTCCTCCCTCCCTCCCTTCTTTACTTCCTCTCTCCAGCCCCAATCTGCTAAAGGTGATGAGATGAGCCCAAGGGCCTCAGCAGCCTTATAAGGCAAGCATTCTGAGAAACCTTCAACTCTCAATTTTAACAGTAAAGAAATAGTTGTAACCAGTCTTGGAGGAAACTTAGCTCCCCCCACCTCTTTCCCCCTTCTGGGGGTACGAGGTTGTTTTTGCATGCTTCATTTGCTTCTTATCCTGATAGGCTGCATTAATCAGTTTTATTTCCATTGATAGAGAAACCTCGTCTGTTCTGTTCGAGCTACAAAGCGTCCTGCGAGCTTTTGTGAAAGTGCAAATCAGTTTAAGCAATTATCATACCAGGAATATGAAGGGGAAAGAGGAGGCCTTGCCCAGTGGTCTCCTTTAATCTCTTAATCCACGGATCCAGGGGGGCTGCCTGGACATAATTTAGGACAATCTCCCCACCCTTTACACTGTGATAAGGCCAAGTTACAATGCAGGGCAAAAATACAAGCTTTGTTAACATCCTGCCTTGAAAAGTTAAGATTAGACATTCTGTGCACGTGTGGGGACTATAGGGCACTATGGAAATTTTTCTTTCTTTTTTTTCCCTCCCCTCCTCTCTTCTAAAGTAGATTTCATTCTTGGTCTCTCTCTCTCTTTTTTTCCCCTTTTATCTCTGCCTTTCTCACCCCCTTCCTCCCTCTCTGTTTCTCTGGAGAACTCTGGATGTTTGTAGGGGCATTTCCACAGAGACTCCCTGGAAAGGTGTGGGTGGACTGGGGGAGACTCGGCTCTGAGGATGCTGGGCGAGAAGGGGCTGATTGAGAAGAGGGGTACTCTTCAGGAGAGGGGGACAGGTGCTGCCCTGTGTATCCCGGGGACTCAAGTGGGGGATTCCAGCCACTTGGACAGTGGGACCTCTGTGGCCAATAGCTGTCCTCTGTGCTTCTCAGTCCCTGCTGCAGCACCTCCGCACCTCTTTCTTTTAAACAAGTTACCTTTCCCTTCGACCCACTTCCTCAAGCCCAGAACACCTCAAATACGGAGCACAGACCTGTTAAAATTCAGACTAGCCTTTCCTGAAGAAAATTTCCCATCTTGACAAAAGGCTTATTTCTGCAAGAAGCATATACTTTTAAGTACCAGAAAGGGGGGAGGGTGATGAAGATTTTTTTTTTGGTAAATGTCCTATGTAGTGTAACAGCAATAAAATCATCAGAGAATACTATTAGCTTTGAAAAAAAAAAAACCTAAAAGCTTTATTACAAACCAAGCTTTGAAAATAGGGGGGATTAGGCGGCTGAAAGGGTCCCACAATGGTAAGAAGAAAAGGTTTCATGCTAATGAGGTTAATGCCCTTTGTATCTCGGGCCTCCACATCTTCATTACGCGCTATCTCCGGCTGCACGGAGCGGCTCAGAGAGCCGCAATCCACTCCAACGCCCCCCTTCCTGGCCCAAAGAAGGATTTGATAGCAGCTCTGTTCAAACTAGATAATTATATCTTTTCAAGTCGGAATTAAGATAAAGAAAGTGAAGCAGAGGCGGCTCGCCTTGATCCACTGCAAACAAATTTGGCGCACTTTCGAGTCCTTCCCCCGCCTCAAAAAGGCTGGACAGTCAGCTTATTAGCCGCTCGTTTGCTTTATTAATTCATCTATTTAAAGTGGCAGGATTAGAGGGTCTAATGTGGACGCGGGCTGCCGTGGCGCCGAGGAATATAAATATTTGCGAGATGCCATCCCACGATGACTATCTGGGCGCGGGGCGCAGGGCAGGGTGCGGGGCGCGCGTGCTGTGCGGCTGCGTCCGCGTCGCAGGGCGCGCGTGCTGGGCTGAAGCCCCTTGGGGAGGGGAGCGTGGGAGCTATGTGCTGCAGGTCTGTGTCCTCCCTCGTGGTTCATGGGTACCAGGCCTAGATAAACCTGGCAGGGCTCAGTGGGCATCCAGGGTCAGGTTCGGCTTTTCTCCCTGCACCTGGAGCTGCACGCATGTTGCCTTGTGTCCTGCCTGTTATCCCGGATGGGAATGTAGGTTACACATCTGATCGATGACCCGCTCTCTTGTCGATTGTGTGCGTTCACCTGAGTGAGTTTAGGGAGCCGAGAGGCATGGGTTCTCCGTTAACATTTCCCCGAGAGTCAGACGGAATGTACAAGGCAAGGGTGCCCCAACCTCATTCTCCTTCCTGCGAGGTACACAGGAGCTCGGCGCGCGTTTCTCATTTGGGGTCCAATTCCTTAGGGCGGCAAAGGGCCAGGTAGGCGCAAGCAGAGGTGGAAGGTGGGGGAGGGGAGTGCGTTCAAGGCATCAGAAACTCATGAGAAAGGAAAAGCCTGGGACCTCCGAACCGTTACCCCCTTCTGCCTCTTGTTCTGCGTGTCCGGTACCCCCGGCTCGCTCCAGCTCTGTTTCTGGCAGCCAAGCGCAGACGGAGCGGGAGCTTTGGCGGCGGCCCGGAACCTGCCGGGCCACTTTTGTGCTAGGGGCGGATTGTGGCAGGCAGAGAGCCGCGCCAAGCGGGCCAGGCAGAAAGGGGGCTCGGGCCTGCGCGCGGCCTTGGAAACCTCGGCTCCTCCCCGTCCCCGCCTCGAGTCGCAGGAAACAAAGTCTCGGACGCGCAGGCCCATTGGGGCGGGGTGGGGGGGAACTCTGGCGGGTCGGAGGCCTGGCCCAGGGCCCCGCGCCGCCGTTGGGGGGATCTGGGCTGGGCTCCCCGCATGTGGGCAGTTGCAAGTCGGAATAAGGGTGGGGACGTGAGTCAGGGCGGGAGGCTGCGCTTGTGACTTTGTAGAGGTTGAGTGTACGAGTTAGGTTGTGCTTGTGTGTCTGAGCCAGGAGTGGTGAAGTCAGGGTGTGTAGGTGCTAATTGTGCTAACTGCGTGAGTTAGAGGCCGGAGAGGCCAGTGCTGCGTGTGTAGATTTGAGAGTGTGTCCAGGTGGCCAGCTTTCCTTGTGCGTCCAGATTGTATGGAGTTCGGACCGGAACGTGCAGCTGCGCGGCTGTAATTAGCATGCTTACAGAGGTGTAGAAACACAGTTGTGCGTAAATTCGTGTGCCAGCGTCGAGTGGTCGTGAGCCCCGCGATAGCTGTGGATCTCGGAGGATGGGAATGACCTCGGTGTGTGTGGCTCGCGGGAATACTTCTACGTGTTTGGGTGGGCGTCCCGGGTGATGGCGTCCGTGCCGCCACCGGGGCGGCACTTATGTGTCTCGGGATCTAGACGTGCGTGTCTAATGAGAAGGCTCGGGTTTGGTTATTGTTTCCGCAGCGCACCACTCGCCCCGGAGTTTGGCAAACAGCTGGGGGTTTTTTGGTAACTGCGCATTTTTCCAGGCCGGCCTTTCTTACTCCGGCAATCAGCTTTTGGTTTACGTGGGTGCTGCCTCCGAGCAGCGGCAGGCCCGGCGGGAGAGGAAGCGGGCCTGCCGCGTTCGGCGGGCGGCGGTGCCCCAAGGCCGAGTTGCGGGGCCGTGGGCGCGCCAGGTCCGCGGCTCCGCTCCCGCGCCAGCCGCTCGGCCGCCGTCTTCACTTCCCCCAACCCGTCCCTCGGCGAGCGGGAAGTGGGAGTGTTGAGAACCCGCTGATCCCAACCGTGACCTTACTCTGGGAGGTGGCTTCTCCCAGTGCGACCCAGGACTCCGGGAAACCCGAGGCTGTGCCACGCTTGAAAGCGAAAGGTCCATTCATCAGCCGAGCCCCGGCGTCTAATTGGCCTTTTGTTTGTTAGTGCCTGTTGCCCCGCGGGGGGGTTGGGGGAACTTGGGAGGGCCTCGCCGGGACTGCAAGTAGGGGTGCCTGGAGCTCCGGGCTGGGGTCCGGGTAGGGCAAAGGCGCGTCGCACTCCTCGGAGGGGGCGCCAGAGCGCGCCAAAGATCACGCCCACGTGCGAGGATGCTCGGCTGGAGGCTGGGTCTCCGAGACCCCCCGCGGGATCCTCCGAGCTGCTGGAGACCCACGGACTCGTCTCTGCCCCCATCTCCACCTGCATGCAGACTGAGTCTTCACGCCTTTCCTCCGCGCCTTCGGGTTTTCAGACCTGACTTCCTGCCACTCCTAAGTTCCCAACACAGGCACTGGCTTTGGGACTGCGTTGGGCTCACGCCCAGCCTTTCTCCCTGCTTCTTTGGCCCAGCTCTAGCTGCCTACCATCGAGCGGCTCTGGGTCCCCCTACTAGGCGTCAAGCTGGCACTCTGGTCCCGCCTAACCCAGTTTTGCTGGGTGTAGAATTTTTTTTGCCAGCCAAGGAGGTGGGAATTGATCAACTGTTAGGCGATCAGATCGCGGAGGAAGACCGCGCGTCTCCACCACTCCAAATTCTACCGGGCTCTAAGTCAAGCCTGACCTTCCCTCTCCCTGTCTCCCACCCAGTGGAGCAATCAAGCCTCCTCCGTCCCCCCTCTAACCCACATCTACTGGACACCGCCTAGAGTCCTACAGAGAGCGCAGGGGAAAGGTCTCCTCTACCAGCATAAGCCCAGAGACCCAGACGCACCTGATGCGCCAGGGTGGTGCCTGGAATGGGGATGGGGTCGCGTTTGGAAAGTGATCCAGGGCCCCCAACCCACGCCTCTCCTCTTTCCCGGGCGAGGACGTGCTTTGACCGGCAGTGGTCTGGCTGCCCGGCTCCCGGTCTCAGCCCGGCCCCAGGCCACCCCTGCCCCCCGCTAGCTCCAGGTCCTATATATAGCGCGGGTCTCCACAGCCCTCGGCTGGACCTTGACGTCAGGAAGAACTTGATCTTGCCTGCTTCGCTCCTGCTTCTGAAACTGATCCTTGAAATGAGAGAACAGACTCTACACAATTCCCATGGCCTTGACATAAGGTACAGCGATAAATATACACCACTAATGAGCAATTACCATATAATCACCTTCCAATTAGCTCGCATAATGATGAATTAAACATTCTAGCAGGCTGGATTAGGTTTCTTACTTTGTATATTATTTACGAAGGCTATAGCTTCTGCAAAGAACCAAATATCAAATTAGATGGGGAATTTTCACTTGGGGGTAATTATGCATTCAGGCCAGCGGCTGTATCCTGGTCACTTGTCAAATGAGGCCTCCTGCAAGGTACTGACCAGTTCGTTTGGGCGTTTATTTCCTCCGTTTCCTCTTTTTCTCTTTAGGCTGCAATTGCCTTTCCTTTTCCTTAACCTCCCTGGCGGGAGGGTGGGAGGCTAGGTGGGTGGGGGGAGTGTCGCTTGGGACGGGGAGGCGGGGTTAGGGGAGGGAGGTCCGTCTCGCACCTAGGATGCGGCTCAGGCGTCCAGGCCCTCGCAGCGCAGGTCTCCTGGGCCCTGTCGGCTCTGGCTCCAGCTCCTTTCCTCCGTGGCCGGGAAGGACGACCCCGGGCACACCCCGAGGGCCATCCGAGCTCTAGGAGAACAAACGCGCGGGCAGGGCGCTACTGCTGGCGCGGGGCCAGGGCGGCGGCCCTCCCCGCCCCCCGACCCCCCACGCCCCGCTTGCTGCTGTATCCTCCGGCCGGCTCTCCCCTAGGCCCCCCGGGGCCTCCATGAGGTCTATTCTCCGCTTTACCCTCGTCAGCACCCCAGTGACAGGGAGGGAAAGAGGGTGCGTGGGGAGGAATATAAACAAACAACGAACCTCCACCCGCCCAGAGCCACCTCTCTTGTTCGGAAATGAATTTTGGCAAGAGATTAGCTCCTAATCTGATCTAACGCTGCTGACATTTGGGGAAGAAGATGAAAATGGCAGCTCAATTTCATTCAGAAAAGGGGTCACTTCGCGGGGCCTCGCTATGCTCCCCAGAAAACGTGGGTGCCCCTCCTCCCTCTCCCCTAAACCAGAGGAGCTGGTCTGAAGCTGGGTGGGGGCAGGGAGGCGTCCGGAACTGCCCACCCCCAGCCCTGGGTTCAACCCTGTCCTGTCCCAGCTTGAAAAGTGAGTCTGGAAGGAGGGTATAGGCTGAGGCATCGTCTTCAGTCCTTCATTCCTCACCTTCTCCTTGTCTTCAGAGCACTCTACTTAAGGATTGGCCAGGGAGGGAGGTGTCTCAGGCTCCCATCCAGAACTTTTTAGGCTGGAGAACTCATGGGAAATAGCAACATTTCAGGCCGCATCAGCGGTGACATGGTTAAAGTCAGGTGTTCCAAGACCTTTTCTTGCGCTTCCTGGGCAGGTAAACATGCACCTAGGAGAAAGAAGGTTGGACTTTGCACTCCTGTTGGGTCCTAGACCTGCCTTATTTAGAAATCATGGATCTCACTAGCCTCTCCCAACTTGGCTCCAAGAGGAGGTGGAGAGGTGGGAGCTAGGACTTCCTGGAGGCAGAGGCCACCCCCCCCCCACATGTTCTTGGCCACCCAAGGGCTGCATCGTGCCTAGCTTCTCCCTCCAGCTGGAATTGTGTGACCAGTGGCCTTATCCTGGTTCCGGGCAAGGGGGACAGGTAGAGTGACTTTTGGGGGGCCCCTGCCTGATCACTGGATCTTGAGGCAGGATTCCTGTCCACCCCGACCCTTCTAAGGCCCTCTGTGTGGGGTGCAGGACCTGGAATGGGAGCTGAGGGCATTACCTTCAGCCTGGATGAAGGACAAGCAGAAAGATCTGTGCTTGGGCCTCTGGGAGTGAGCCTGGTAAGGAAGGGATTTTGTGCCTGAGGATGGCCATGCACCTCGCATGTGATACACGAGTGGCCGTATATGGATGTGGCTTGCACGACATGTAACCTGAGCATGTGGACACATACATAGATGTGTAAGTGTGCACATGGCCTTGGGGTGAAGGGGCTGCTGGAACACATACAAAACTTAGGAAAAGGCACTCCTCCTTCTGGGTGGATGGTTACCTGTGACTTGAGTGAAATGTGGGCCGGATTGCAATGAACGACCCCTACTCCACTGTTGCCCCCAGACTGCTTATGCCATACCCAGCCTGTATGCCCTACACTCGGACTCTGGTGGGGATTTTGTGTGTGGGTGTGACATTTTATTTATTTTTGTCTGTGCTGGGTCTTCATCGCTTTGCCGGGGCTTTCTCTAGTTGCGGCAAGTGGGGGCTCCTCACTTGCTTGGGTGGTGGTGTGGTGTGCAGGCTTCTCGTTTCTGTGGCTTCTTGTGTGGAGCATGGGCTCTGGGGCTCAGGCTTCAGTAGTTGTGGTATACGGACTTAGTTGCTCTGAGCCTGTGAGGTCTTCCTGGACCAGGGATCAAACCCATGTCTCCTGCATTGGTAGGCAGATTCTTATCCACTGCACCACCAGGGAAGTCCCTAGGTGTGATATTATTGAAAGTGCCTTTATGATTGAGGCTCAGCTTTGGGCCAAGCCGTCCCTCCTTCACTGTCTGGGGACTGCCCCCTTCTCAGTGTGGAGGTTTTGGATGTACCAGCCACCTCTGTCTGCCACAATGACATTCCTAAACATCATATAAAAGGCTCGTATCTGCAGGTGCCTTTGCACTTGTAAGTGAGGCTGAGGAACAGAGTGCCTACGTACGGATGAATGAGTGTGAGTGAACGTAAACAGTTGTTTGAGTTTGTGGGAGAAGGCTGCAAGCCTGTGTATGTGTGTGTGTAGCGGCGGTGAGGGTAGGAGCAAAAAAATACCTGGTGACGTGACAGTTGTTTGAAACATTGCCTGCCTCCATGCCCCTTCCCTC